TAGGGAAAACCCTGTCTACTGAAAAAAATCTGCTGTGGCTGGCAGCCCCATCAACATGGCAACTGAGGGGAGGGACCAGACAGGTGCTGAGAGATTCTCCTTTCCCAGTAAAACATTCAGGCACTTCCGTGTGAGGCACCTGGGTAGGGAGCAGCCCCTCCTGCCAGCTGTGCAATTCCTTCCCCGGCTTCCAGCCCTTCTCCAGACTCCTGGAGAAAAGAGAGGAGTTTCCTTGGGGTTTGACTCCTTAGAGAGCTCTGCTGGACACAGAAGCTGCCCCGGCAGCTCAGCCAAAGCCCATCGACTCCATTTCCTCCTCTCAACTGTGGCCAGAATCAGATATACCAGAAAATGAAAAATACAAATAAGAATAATTGTGTGGCAACTTAACACATGTTAGGATGTAAGGTAATGGATGAGGAGGGAGGATATATCAGACAGCTGAAATACAGCTGGATTTGTGAGGGATTTCTCCTACACAGAAGGGATTCCTTCAGGAAACAGTGGAACAGCAGATGTGTGTATCGCTTCCAGTTCTGAAATGCTCTCCAGGAACAAGCAAATGCCACAATAGTGTAATGGATAGTGTGTTGTATTTATATGTGTGTGTATACATGCTGTGCAACATACATATTTCATATACACATATACACATACATATAAACACATACCTTGTATTTATATATGTATTAAATCACTTATATTATTTAGTAGGGTAGATGGGGAAAGACAGGCCTGAATGTCCTCACTCAGCACAGGGTGGAGGGTTTTTAATACAGCTGGGATTTCAGAGGAATGCCAAATTAAGTGCAAAAGAAAATTGTGGAGAGCAAACAATGAGTTTGGAGTGACTCTATCTTAGAGCAGAAGATATTCCTGGTAGCACAGGGTCTAATTGCTGTACTGTTTGGTCAGGTAACATCTTGTGACTGCCCCCTCCCTGGAGGTGTTCAAGGCCAGCCTTGAGTAGCCTGATCTAGTTGAGCGGTGTTCCTGCCCATGACAGGGAGGTTGGACTAGATGATCTCTAAGGTCCCTTCCAGCGTAGGCCATTCTATGATTCTATGATCTTTCCACACAACTGGGCTACTTTGTTTCAGTTGGAACTACTGTTTGGTCACGAACGAAGGAAGCTTTTGACAAGAGCTGAATGGAATAGAGTGTCTACGCTAACCACGATGGACCAAAGCTGCCTTCTGATTAACTCCTTGCAGTAATAAGGCTTGAGTTGTAGTGTGCAAGTCCTTTTACGTGGAAACAAAGTGAGTTTGGGTTTTTAAGGTGAATACTCATGTTTGACAACTGAATGTAAGAACATTCTGCTGTATCCATACCTGCACTCTTCTTCACTTCCCTGCGCATGCGCTTCAGACGCTTTAACATGCCTCTCAGGTCAGTGATACCGTACTGAAAAGCAATCTTCTCATATTCACTGGGATTTGCATTTTTCAGGAGCTCCCACACGTCTACCTCAGGTTCCTCCTCTTGCTGTTTAACCTCCCTACCAGTAGCAAAACAAAATTATGGGAGAAGAGTTAGCAAGGCTTTATCACAGTATATAAAATGGTGAAGCTGGTGAGGTTAGGAATGCTTTGATCAAAATTTGAAGGCCATCATGGTTTTTTTTTGTTTCACTTAGTATGGATGGAACGACTCAGAATGACATTCACACCTTATTTTCCACTTCTTCAAGGCAGAATTTGAAGATAAGTTTTAATTTGCCCTTTTCTGTTGTAATCAGTTATGAGAGCTTTTACGTTGCCTCATTGTATAAAACCAATACAGTTTTAAAATGCAGTACTGAAATAGCATATGAGCTAATCCCACTCAAATCAGTTTTGTCTGTTGTAACTTCAGTGGAATCAGTTACAATTTATGATGGCACCACTGAGATCTGAGTCTAATCCGTACATTTCATAGTTATATATGATAGTTTTCAAACACTGGGTGCCTGTGACTGCTACTAAGGGTGACCAATAAAAGGACATTGAAATCAAGGAAATCAGGGTCTGTTTATAGTTACACCAGCGCTTCTCAGGGTTACTTAAAGTTGGCATATGGGTAGGAACTGGAGATTTCCACACCAGCTTGGACTTGCAAGATGGATCTGTTGGCTTCCATGTTTATCTCAGTCTTAAGAGCAGGAAGTGTTTTCAGAGGCCTGTGTGAATAGCATCACTTTTATACAGAAGTTTCAATACCGTATTTACTGTCTGCAGCTCCAGGCTAAGACAATCAATAGAGAAGTATAATTATTTTCACAGTGATAGCCATTAAACAAGGGAGCAGTGGAAACATCCTAAACAAAATGATATTTTTTGAAATTGACAGTTTAGCTCAAAAGAGTGATCTGCTAGAACAATCAGGCACTGGACCAGAAATCTAGGCATTTTTCCTGTAAATTCATTAGGATCAGACCATGATCATTCAGATTTGATCTAGTTGGTCTTCTGAAATCAGTACTTTTGAGAAAAAAGCAAGAAAATAAACATTTGAGAAATAAAAAAAGAATAAGCTTTGGAGTGAAACATTGTTAGAGCCGTGCTCTATCAAGTATGACAGAGAATTTTCTTTAATGTATGCAGAAAGAGCATTGTGGCTCCCTGAGAATCTCTGCTTGGTTGGATGAGGAACTATAGAAAAGCACTTTTAACCCTGTTTAATCTGTGAGGTTTCTTAATTTTCATAATATGCCAGTGTTATTTTAAGAGGGAAGAAAACTTCTCACTGAGAACCCTTTGAAATACTTACATCATTATCTTAGAATTATTGCTAGACAGTCTTGGGTATGCAATTTTATCTTTCATTCCTTTTACTTTTATCTGTGCTCATGCTTTCTGGAGAGTGACTATATACATCGAACATGGGTGTTTCAGTGAGATTCCTCATGAGGTGGCAAGTCGGGATCAGCTTGCAAACACGTGTAAAAGCTGACACACCTCATGGGGTGGCATTCTCCTCTTCCAGGGCTTGCCCCTTCTCATCCAACGCCTGTCCGTGCTAAGGAGAGGTACGCTCCGTGGGAGTCGAGATAATGTACCCCTTTAAATCAGGCAGTAGTTGAAACTGAGGCTCAGATTCCTGATTTTCAACCAGCCTGAAATAATTAATTCCAGCTTCTTTTTTTTTTTTCTTTTGCATAACTGGAGAACAAATTTTGACACTTGGAGAAAAATGGCTTTGTTCTGAGATCACAATAGTTTCTGCTGTGGGTAGTGGGCAAACAATGCTTGGTATTTACTAAGCAGACTGACCTCTCCACAAAAATGCTTTCAGGTCTTTTCCCTGAAAATGTGCATTTTGTTGAAAGATGTACTTTTTAAAAAAAAAGACCTAAATGTTTGAGTGGTTTTGAGATCTTGTGCCTTTTGGAATTTCATGCCATTACTGATCCATTGCATTGACGAAGCATAACCATTCACAGAGTGGCTTAATGAGAGAACTGGTTTGTCTTCCTGCAAGACCAGCACGAAATTAGAAAACAGGCAGTATATAGATTCTATGCATTTAGGTGTTGTTTTTTTAAAAAACATGTTTCAAGTGTAATGCACCACAGGTGAAAAGTTCTAGCTCTTTCCTTGGCAATATAACCATATAAAAGACAAGGAATGCACGTACAGCATTGCCTCTTGAAAAAATTAAAGTGAAAATGTGTATTTGTCTTCATAAAAATGGATATTAGTATCCACACTGAGGCTTAATTAGCAATTTTACTCAATTAAGCTCAGAAGTATGAGGTTGCATTTCAGTGCCTAAAGCAAGAAGGTGATGAACTGGTTTGACCAACATCAAATAACCATATTTAAAAACTGAAAGTTTGCTTTGCCCATTAGCCACATGATAGGTATACTCAATTTATATGGCAAGACAGTATTTATCTTACAAAACGTGTTACTTGTTAGTGAAGTGATAATGACTTTTAGATCAAATTTCTCTTTCCACAAAAACACCAAGACCTCTTACATGCAACTCTCATGTTGCTAATAAAATACCCCACAGGCAGTCATGAGAACTGTCATGGTAAGTTGTAAGTTGTATTAGTACAGTAAAAAGTCAAATTGAAGATCCTAGTAGGGATGAGAAGATGAAAAAAAACAAAGCCCTGGTGGATTTAAATTGGTTCAGGTAATTCTTTCACTGCCTGCTTCTAACTTCAACCTTTCCTGTTTGCTTTAGTTGTTTAAATACTATCATCTTCACCGTCATAACCCATAAGCCCATTGTGAACTTTTTATGTAATTTGTACTGCATGTTGGGTTCTTCTCTTTCAGAGTATGTAGTACATGAGATAAAGGATTTAGTTCCTTTTCCCATTCTCTGTGGTCAGTTGCCGTTTATTTCCATGGCATATGGAATTTCTGTGACAAATTTAAAATATGATGAATTAACTACCTTGCCTTAACCTGTTAAAAGACTAAACTGAGTTTAAGATTTTAAACAGCTAGAGGCATAACTATCATAACACCAGATTTGCAAGGCAAGATAGAGAAACACTTGCCCAAGTTTTCTTCGATTGCAGCGTTTAAGTTGAATAAAACACCATTACACATTTGTAAGCACATAGTGAAATAGAAGTCTACAAAGAATTAATACCAATGTGTATGATTTTTCATATAAGGATGCTTATAAAATCCAATTAAGGTGTGCCTAAAGAGGTAAATTTAACCCTTGCGGTTTTTTACTCTTGCACCAGACTCAATTTTCTGAACTGCTCATCCCTGTGTAGGAAATTGTCCCCCTCTACCCTCCATGCAAACACAAAAGAAATAGCAAGTAAACTGTTATTGGCCTCTTCAGGTTGCGGCTCCCAGTGCACTCAAATCTGAGATTTCTCTTCTGCACACTTAAAGGTACAATTAACCAAACATTTTGCATATTATACTATGAGAATAATAGTTAGAAACATTGAAGAAAATGAAAGGTCAGAAACTTCTTATGTTATTAATGCTACGCCTGACTCTTTCTGTGTGAGAACCTAATGGTTTGCAATCCACACCTGCTCACTGCATGACTTGGTTCTCACCTACGTTTCAGGAGACCACTAAAGTCAAGTTCTCCTGCATCGTCTTGTCCATCACCGCTGTTATTAATAGAAAAAAATCAAATCTTTGTTTAATACAGGAAGACTTAGACAACACACATTGCAAACGCTCTTAATGACTCATACACTCAACACTGTCCAGACACACAAATAACGGTATAAAATCAACACAAACTTGTATTCTTTTTCACATGAATTACGTTTCCTGTGGCATTTGTGAAAAATAACACAAAGGTTTGTATTGCTTGTTATTATACTTTGATGACAAATTTTTGCAACTGCACACATAAATTTGCCAAGATTTGTGTTAAATTTCAGTAACACAAATAAATGTGAACTGGTCAACACAATGAGCTTTGTTTTTCATTTCCATAATATATGTGTATAAAAACAAAGAGCTTGTGCTGATCTTTTACTATGAACGAGAAACAAAGATTTGCATTACTTGGTGGTGCTTTTAACAGTGCACAGCTATTTAAAATACTGAATGCAGAGTATTACGCTTAAGATTAAACCTTCTTCTAAATGAAAGGAAAAATAAGTTAAAAAAGAGAGGAAAGTACATTGTATATTTTTACAGATAGAAACACAGTCCTATGAAGGTGCATTTCTTTCTATAACGTGACCTTAAGCAGTAATACCTTATCCTAAAGCACATCAGGACAACAGGCATGAAGGCAGTGATTTTCCGTGTAAAGTGGCCAAACATCCCAGAAATAGAAATAGAAATAGGTACAGAAATGTCAGCCCTTTTGATCACAGTCAAATTAAGCTAAACCAAGGTGATGATGACTATAAGAACACTAGTTTGATAAAAATGGAAGAGGCCCAAAGGAGCTACATCCTTACCCAGGGACCTTTGCCAAATGCTTGTGGTTACTTTTGGGAGATGGTTTGGGAACAGAAAAGCCTCGATGTTATGTTGACATAGGCATGTTTGTCATTGACAAAAGAAATGCCCTTAATATTTGTAAAAAGGGCAAAATCCCACAAATGTTAAGCCACTATTTCAACTCAGATTTTGTATGAAAGATATTACTTAGAAAATCAGAAAATATTCAGATAACCTTATCTGCTTGGTCAGAATATTTACTGCATTTTTTAAAATTGCTTGAGAAAGGAGTGCACCTTGAATGTAATCTCTTTTGCATTTGCTCATTAAATCAAATCTCTCTTATAAAAGCAGTTACTTATGAATCACAACTTTGCTTATATGTGTAAATTAACAAACTGCACTAATTTTCTGTTTGTAAAACATTTTCATTCTGAATATTTCTGTCCTTGTAAGACAATTTTCCCTATAAAATGTAAAGATGGCATCTGCACTGGTTTGAATTACTATTTTATCACAAATAACGAAACTTAAGACACAATGCTTTATCTCACATTCTCAACAATATATCATATGTAGTTTTTTCATAATGGTGGCCTCATAACGCACTTTTTGCCTGTAAAATAGCAAAGCCAGATCCTATCTTCTTGAAACCAGTGTGAATTTTCTCTCTGCTCTTAATTAGTACAGGACTGGGACGAGGAAGTTTCATTCCACTGACCACTGTCAGGAAATATGCAGCAGAATATTTTACTGAATGAAAATATGATTTTAAAAACCTCTAACAAAACTTATGTTTAATTGCCTTAAGTGTTCCATCTTCCCTTAAACAATGACACTTTAATTTCACAGTAGTGTTTTTAATATCATATGTTTTCTCTGTGCTTGTGCTGTAACTATTTCTACCCACTACGGACTACCCTAAACCCCACTCTAATCTTTATTGACAAAAACATTTTTTTAAAAGTACTTGATATAATTATCTGCCAAGACTAATCCAAGTTCTGTGCATGCTACAAGCACCCATTACTGAGGAGCTTCATAGGATCACTGCTTGAAGTTACCTTCTTTTGAAAGCAGATCTGATGTCAATGGATGGAGCAGCTTGGGAAGATTCTATGAAATAACAGTAATATAAGAATTAAAAACATAATTTGAAATTAATGTAATTTATGCAATCAGTGTAATTTGCCATATGAAATTTGTTCAGTTTCCTGCTAAGTGACCCCAGTTTGTGCTGGTCCTTTGGCATTAAGTTCTGATAAATGCACAGCTGATCAGTGCTACGTTAAATTGAATTAATGCATTTCTTAAAATTGTTTCTGCAGATTTACATAGGAGATCCATCTCTGTGATGTTTCTCTCTGATCCCCTTCTTGCCTATACAACAGGCTCTGGCCTTTTTGCCTTCACATTCCCCGTGATTTCTCTCCTGCTCCCATCTTGCAATTTCTCAGCACACTCTGCAACCGAGAGAAGAGACAATCTCCTCTATGGCTACAGACTCAGCTGATTCTCAGTGCAGGGATGAATCCCCTTTGTGTGGATTACCCATATGTGCCAGCCTGGATCAGATTAAACACTTCTGATCCACAGCTGACGGATGGAAGCAGCCAGGCTTGCCCCTGCCTCGCTGACCTCTGAACACACACACCTCGCCTATCAGCCTCTCAGGCTCTCAGTCAGATGTCAAATTTCTCCTTAACTGTGACCGACTTCCTCTGACTGGTGAACAAACAGTCCGGTCTAGGCCATTTGGTAGGAGTGCTTTATGAGGGTGAACAACTATTTTGTCCACTGGCTGGCAGCCCTGGCATTTCGGAAGACATCCGTCTTTCTCAGCCTGATCATGCAGGTCTGTGTGTGCTGTGGGGTCTGTCTTGCATGCCAGAGCCTAATGTGAATTCAATACTAGTTTTAGCTGCCAGGTTTTCTTATTTTTGGAAATGTCTTCCATGCTATCTATCCCAATGTTCCTTTAAACAATAAATTACAGACACATAATAAAATTCTCTGAGATCTATCCTAAAAATATTCACTTGAAGAGTTACTTTGCTTAAACGTTCTGAACAAAGTTAGGTAGCATTTCAGGTTAAAAAAAAAGTCTTTATAAAGCTTTATAGACACAAGTGGAATCTTACCAGTGACTTCAAGGTCAAAAGAGCAACTATCAAACTTGTCTTTATAAGATACTTCACAGCGGTAGTTCCCTGCGTAGTTTAACTTTGCTTGAATGATATGCATCTCAAATGTGTGAATCTAAAAATCAAACATAATTGTTCTTTAGTGTGGGGGGATACATTCACACAAAGCAGAAGGTAAAAGTTTAATCTTTCAGACCTGAACCAGGAGAAAGGAATAACTCATATAAAGGGCTGTGGGAAAGAAACAGAACCCAGAAATGGCAATGGAAAACTTTGATTTCCCCACCACTGCTTGTCTTGCACTGGGAGAGCAGAAAAGTCTGCTTTTGCACAAGGTCAGAGAGCATCGCTGAAATCTGCATGGGGAAGCCGGGGTTTGCATCCACTGCTCTTGAATTTCTACCTCTCATCTTAACCTGATCTTTAAGATCTCTTTGGGACTTCGTCCTCATAGAAGGAAAAGCAAAGGCACACCTTTGTGTGACGTTCGAAGGATTCTTTCAGCTGCAGGTGCTTCCCCGCTTTACTGGCTAAGTCCATCCATTTTCCTTTAAACCACTTAACGTTTGGCTTTCGGAGAAGATCTTTGGCTTCTACTTTGGCTATAAATGTAATATTTCCACCTGTTAAAAAGAGAAGAGAATAATGCAGCCATTAAGGAAGATGGTCAGTCACATCCAGACAAATTTATTTTACTACTCCACCTTCCAGTCTCCATGTGCTAGCTCTGCCACAACAGTAAGAATCAGATGGAGTCACACAGGCTGCTGAAATTACTGCAGTGTTACAGAGATTTGTGATTTGGGGTCTGGAAGCCTTCTGCCCATGTCAGGGTGGAGCTTGAGATGCTAAGAAGCAGGATAAATTAGTTGAGTCAAAACTCCATGTTGTCGTGGTGGAATTGTTCCCAATTATTTAATTGCCTTGCTTAACACAAGCGCAGGTGTTTCTAGACTACCAAGCAGTTGTAACATGAATAAACTCCAATCCAGAAAAGAAAGTCTGGAGATCTTAATGCATTTTTGTCATTAATTCTTAAAGCTGAGAAGGGAGGGGAGACTTCTCTAAACAATAATTTCAGAATAATGAAAGTTAACTCAATTTTCAGAATGCCACTGCCCAGTGCTGAATAAATCTTCCCAACATGCGTTTTTCTGCTCAGAAGATGAGACAAATAATAGGTAATCTGACTATGTTTTAGTGTATCCAAGTAAAAGACAGACACATTAAGTAGCCTTTACTGAACTTTTCAAGATTGTTTTTACCCTGTTTAGGGTGTAGCTACCTTACTGCCATAGCATGGCTCGGGAATGCAGTTTGGAAGTGAACCTCCTAAATGTCCCCTCTTTCTGGTTCCCAGCACTGAAAGTCCTCACAGTGCTTGAACTGGATTCTTCTGGGGTGAAATTAAAACCAAATATATGGTCTGAGAGTTACCACCAGTTATCCAACTGCTAATAAATATATATTTATATCACTGTAGTAAGACAGAGCTAGTCCAGAGTAAGCTCCCCAGAATGGTCACAGTGCGTGTGACCCTACCAGCTTCCCTCTACAGAGCTGCTCCTATTAGTCTACTACTAATTTACACAAAAGTGCAAAGGTTGGCCTGGCAACCTGTAAGCTACTCTGCAGATCTTTAGGTTTTAAACTAAAAGAGGTTTTTAAACTAAAAGAGGGTAGATTTTAACTAGGTAAAAGGAAGAAAGTTTTTGAAAAGAGGGTGGTGAAACACTGAAACCAGTGGTGAAGAACTGAAACCAGTGATAAGAGAGTTGGTAGAAGCCACATCCCTGGAAACATCCAAAGTGAGCCTGGACAAGGCTCTGAGCAAACTGATCTAGTTAATGTCCCTACTCACTGCAGGAGAGTTGCACTAGGTAACTTTTAAAGGTCCCTTCCAATCCAAAACATTCTCTGATTCTATGAATCCATTATCTTTCTGACATACCAATAACAGTACAGCCAACAGCATCACAGTAACCATCTCTATCCTCCAGAGACACTTCCTCTTACCCACTGTGCTCAGTAAACTATTAGATTTTGAGCTTGTCTTGAATTAAATGATTGGTTTCTGCTTCTTTTCTTATAGACCTTTTTGCCTTCGAAGGATGGAATTCACATCCGGCTAAAATCAGTGGAAGTACTTGCATCTGGGAGTAGCTTTTGGTTTTGTTTCTAAGCACTTACCAACACTCACTGAACCACTCTGAGGTTTTTCGACGAATAAAGTGGATCTTTGGGAGTCATCGCGCTTTTCTGTCTCTTCTCCTTCTCCAATAGACCATACTGAGATGCAGAGAGAGAAGGAAATGTCAATCACCTAAACATGTTTTATTCCTCCAAAACACACTTACCTGAACTTACTAAACTCTCTAACCCTATTACCTCTCTCTTCAGATGTCCTGAAAGATACGTAAGATTTTGTTCACACTGTCATCCATTGCTTGGCTGTAACATTGTGTGCAGTTCCTGCAAGAATACTACCTCTGTGGTGACAGAAAATGAAACTATCAGGGAGGAAGAGAGGGGAACCTGATCAGCCAAGACGGGTACTTGAGCAACTCGAATGGCACCAGCATTCAACCATGAGTGCTTTACGGAGGCAGTGAGCAAAGGTCAGCTCTTTGTTTTTCAGAAGAGATGGAGGTTCTGAAAACACAAACAGCTATAACACAAACAAAACACATACGATGCGTAGTTTCAGTGGGTGTCTCTCAAGCGCAGACGCAATTGTACAAGCTGGTTTTTCCTCTTTGGTTGCAAAATAGGGTGAGGATAAAGCTAACTTTTGAGCTTTGTTCTCGTCGAACACGATAGAAGCAGAGAGTTTGGGGATCGGTCACTACCATGTCCTGCACGAATTTGCAGATAGTTTACAGATTGAAATTATTGTGTCACATCCTCAGACAACACCTACTCTTCTGGAAACTGGGGTCTGAGAACTGGAAAGGAACAACGGTACTGAGAGAAACAGCAAATGAGCAGTCTCCCCAGGGCAGAGACCTATATTAGCACAGCTGTGTGTTTCTAGTCTTTCTGTTCATCCGAACAACCCTGGCTTTGTGCTGTGCAGCTACATGCAAAATCATGGTCAAATGTGATTCCTAACGGAGAAGGCAGGGAGAGCGAGGCAGCGAAAGTCTGTCCATTACCTTCTCCCTTTCTCCAGAGAGGCCAAGCATTGTGTCTCATATTCAAAGTGAGAAGTTGCAAAATCCAAATGCCACACCTCCTTTTTTTGAAGAGCTACTTCCAGTGCAGAGGGGTAACTGAGTAAAGCCAGTGCTGCCATGGTACCACTGAAGAGCAGAGCAAATGTGGCAATGTACAGCTATACAAATGTGCAGTTTTTTCAAATCTGAGCTGAATCTCCCTTGTTCCCCTTGAGGTTCTAGGTTTTTTTCAGAAGCAAAGGCAGCTTTTTACAGTTTTGGTTTTGGTTTCATAACTAGCATAAATGAGGAACTAGACACAAAACACTTCTCACTTAGTCAAACCCTAGTCTTGAAATGAAAATTTTCTTTCCTTAGTCATTATTTTCTGTACAGACTCCTTTACCAGAAGTCAGAATTGTCTTTCTACTATGTAGAGATTACTGCTGTGGGAACATTTTTAACTCCTGAAAATTTCTGTAACTTATGAATACAACACAGCTCATGACAACCATGGGAAAATGCAATCAAACTGCTTTTATTATACCCATCTCTGGAAGTGTTTAAGGCTAGTCTGGATGGAGCCTTGAGCAACCTGATTTACTGGGAGATGTCCCTGCCTTGGCAGGGGGGTTGGAACTAGATGATCTTTGAGGTCCCCTCCAACATAAATCATTCTATGATTCTATGATTATCCTAAAGTCTATGAGGAATTTTAAAAATTTATAGAAATGCCAGATAGCTTTGCCATAAAATTTCAACCTTTCAGTGAATTATGAGTTGTGTGCCTAACACCTCTGTGTATGTCTGCTTGTACAATATTTCTTACAGGGAAAGACATACATGTATATACGCACATGTATATACACTTATATGAAAACATATACACAAACATACATGAATACAAATATATATAGATTCACATCTATATATACTCTTTCTATAATCTATATGTTTAGATTATGCCAGTATAATATGGTAGTATATGGAAACAATATAATAACAAGTGATGGTTACTGGTGTGAACAGAATGATGTGACAGTGCTCAGCACAGGACCTGGTCACGTGTGGTGACAAACCTAAGATGCCACAAGGTGAAATGGAAAAAAGGATATTAATAAATGGAAGAAGCTTACACAGGGTCATTAATTCAATACCACATAAAATAACACCTAAATATTATCGTCTCCTTAATGTTAACATTTTCCCATTTATTAAACAAACAGAACAGAACATGGGTTTGGCGTTGGCTCAGGGGGCTGGCATAGGTGCCTATGCCAGGTCAGTAACCATGGTTGAAGTACCTGCTGCTCATTTTGTTCCAGAGGCTGCAAATCCTGAAACCACAAAAGTGGGTGCAGTATGCGTTACCTGCCAGGGTAGGAAGAAAGAGGTTATGACTTGGCTGAATTTTCCCCACCATCCTTTGAGCTGAGAGAAGGAGCCATTCTCCTACAGTCTCCTGGGCCCTGTGTGTGGAGTTCAGGTAAGCCACTTTCACCCTGTAGGCTGAGGAGGAAGGTAATAACTGTGTATCTATCTATATAGAAATAGATATAGATAGATAGGTATGTATGTATGTGTAAAATACTGATATACTCTCCTGTCTTGTGCAGCAGAGCCTTCTCTCACTCCTGGTTTAGCTGCTAGAAACCTATTTGCTCCAGTACTTAAAACTGTTTCAACAGTCACAGTTCAATACTGTACAAGCAATGAAAATAAAAATAAAAAGTAATTATTTTTAAGAAAAAAAGTATTAGTAATAATTGCATTAGGTAATTTTTGGAGTGTTTCATCATGTCTTCCGGGAGGTCTCACCTGAATCTTTTCTTTCCGCTGGCTTAGACATCCCATCTGAAAGGGAAGAGCAATTTAGATGACACCAGCTTAGAGATCACAGCCTAATTGGCCTCACATGATTGGGATTTTAAGAACATTGATTCTTCATGCAAGAAGGTTAGACTAGGTATTTAGGACCATACTCTTGAGGAACTACTAGAAAACCAGAAAAAGAAAGTGGACAGCTGAGAAAAACATTCAGAAACCCTTCCCCCTTTCTCTAGAAAATCTAAATCGGTTCACTTTAATTCCAGTTCAAGATTTCTTTCTTGGTAGTTCATATTTAGAGGGATTAATTGAACCTGATATTTTCTTCATGATTTATGTTGTTCTAGATAACAGGTAAATTTATGCTGTTCAATATTTATCTGAGGGAACAGTACTTTGAATTAATTAAATGGTCTATTTATTTATCTAGGCTGGGCAAAATATTGACAAATTGTTAAGTTTTAGGGTTTTGTGATTTACAATGTTGTTTATATAATTGGCTTTTACCAATGAGGTCCACTAGTACTGTAAATTAATGTACTGCTACTGACTACAAATAACATTCCACCCGAAGTTAATAATGCAAATTCTTTGGAGAGAAATCAGGAAGATGCAATCATTTAGGGCAGTGAAGATAACTAAGAGCATGTTTTTCATTTGAAACACTGTGAAGCATTTTCTAGTGTTCAGAATCTCTGTTTCTTTCAGAGCTTATTTATGAAAAACATATTAAGCAAGCAGGGGAGAAATTTTGCCCAGGTCACTTCTGTCATGATGGACCCCTGTGCTGTTGCTTTTTTTTTTTTGTGCCAACAACTAAAGACCTTTTATCTGCCAACTTGGCAGCAATGGCTTGGAACAGTATGTTCAAAGTACCTTGTGGGTCATATGGCCTCAAGTGAGGTGATGAACAATGATGTTGATAAATCTGTTTTGAAGTCATAAGGCATCTGTGTTATTTGTAATCCTGCAATTTGCTCTCAAGACTAACCTTAAAAATGCACTGCTTGTTTGCTGATTGGAGAAGATAAGGGGAGTTGCTTTCAGAGCTGCTACCCAGTGTTTTACCTTCCAGTTGCAGAAGTTCTATCAAAGACCTCAAGACTGGAAAGGAACTTATCTGGTATGAAGGTCTTGTACTCCTGAACAGAGATTAATTTAATGTAGAGCACTTCAAAATCTTTTTCTCTAATAGTGTGTTTTGAGTTCAGTCCAAAGGTTTGGACTCTTTCTTCATTAAAAGTCAAGAGAAAATACATACATACATACACACACAATGCACTATCACAGTCCTAACCTGCTGGTGGAGTACTAACTGAAGTATCATCTTCATCTGTGAAAAGAGATACAAATAAAAGAGTACATAAAGAAACTGAAAGCACAGACGATCATCTGCTTTAAAACAACAATGTGAAAACGTAAAACCTGTAAAAGAAAAGGAAAGAAATCATAATAGTCAGGAGCATTCACAATGGAAGCTTCAAACTGATGAAGAAAGCTTTGCATAATTCAGTAGCTGAAATGGTAAACCTTAATCTTTCAAGCAGGTAAAAGAAAAATGAGATGTGGACTGTGATCTATTATTAAATCATGAGTTTGTATGAAAGCTGCTGTTTGTTAGAGATGTAATCCACAATAAATACAAAAAAGCCACAAGGTCAATCACAAATCTGACCTGAGGACGATGCCATTTCTCTGATGTCCATGTCTGCAATTAAAATGTGCACCATATATGCATTCAGCATCAGTAAATCAAGATATGCAACATATACTTTATAATTTCTGTATTAGAATATTAATTTAAAATGCAAGGAGCAAACTATTTTTTCCCCATATTATAAGAGAATAACTTAAAATGAGGACAGAATTATTATAATCACATTGGATTTTTCTTTTAATCACTACAAACAATTGCTATCTAGGTATTTCAAAATGTTGGATCTGATAGGGTACATTAAGGTATATATCAAAATAAAATAAAAGATTAAAAAACCCATGAAACTGGCATTGAACCTGAAATTCTGTAATCATGTTCACTAGAAAACCAGAATAAGTTAAAACTATCTTTCAAGAGTCTCGCTCATCTCTTTGAATTTTAGATGTTGACTAGAAACCTCAGAGAGATAGTTTCTGACAAAAATATGAAATAAGTCTTACTGTCTTAAAATTCTAATGGTAAAAAAAATAATTAAAATTAGCAATGTAGAATTTGAAAGGCTAAAATAATGCTAAAATAAACTAGATACATTTAGAATTTAATATATATATATATGAAATGTAAAGATTTATATGGTACGAGAAAATAAGTTGGAGAACATTTCAAAGTGGAGGAAAAGACAGTTGACCAAGTAGAGCTTTGGAAAAATACTAGCCCACATTTTTGAAGAGTTTTTTGTGTTTTTTTTAGATTTTAAATTTAGGTTTCTAGAATAAAATTTTAACTCTGAAGTTAACCTTTGAATCTGACATTAAAGTTATAAGGTGTCTATATTGTCTAAATGTAATAACTCTGACAAAAACATATAAAATATAGTTGTATTTTTATAAATACTGATCATATTTTTTATGCTTGCTTATCTACTGAAGGCTAAATGAAATTATTTAATAAAATTTAACTACTTAGCTGCAACATTTTACTCATTCCTTTTTAATGTTTCATCAAACTTTAAAAATGGAAGATGTCAGTTGTAAAAGGTAGGCCTATACATGAAGGATTAATATGTTATCTTACAAAAATGATTTCTTATTCATAGCAAGAAAAAACCAAGAATTTGTTTAGTGGAAGAGTTCCCACCACCTGCCTCATCCAATGTAACAAGCAGATGTTGAAGATGCTGGTTTTCAGTGAGAGCACAGTAATGATAAAGTCATGTCAGATGTTTTAACATATTGTGCTGGCAACTAAATGAATGCAAAGCTAAGTAATTTCACTACGAATCTTTGTATTTCATGGAAGTATAAAGCTCTTTTTGTCAATAGTGACACCGCTGTAGTTGATGATGGCTTGAAGATGTACAGAATATTCTCTTAGGCCAAAAAAAAAAATTAAAATCAAAACATTTGATGCTATGCAGGCTACACTATGATGTATGATAATCACATTATTAAAGGACCACTCTGTTCGACTTCTGTTTTCCTTAAACATTTGAAAAACTAAGCCAACAAAAAGATGTTATTAGTTTTGTGGAGGGGTTGCTGGGGTTAACTTCAAACACAAGTTATAACAAATATTTCAAAAGTATCAAGATGAAGGCACAACTGAGTCCCCCACCGAGAGAACTTGGCACTTTGGAAATGGTAAATGAGGTACATACATACAGCAATGGATGTTTTAGTAGAGAGATGAATGAATAAGTGAAACCTGTAAAGATACAAGGATGAAACATGCGAACATTTAGTAGATGGTTGGATGGAACCTAGAGAAAAAAGGTATCAGTAAAACATGCAGAAATTTTAGTAGCTCTCTGAATGGCTGGATGTGACCTAAAAAAGGAATGAGCAAACTGATATTAAAGTTCAATGATTATTCCAACAAGTGGGAACACAATTATAACAATGTACAATCTGTAATATAATGCTAAAATTAAAAACAAGGGCAGAAGAACTTAAATGAATATGGGATAACATAATAAATTTGGTGGGATTTCTGAGGAGTCACTTTTTTTCTCTGAAAATAAAATGGATGATCATATATATATATCTTGAATTTTTTACATCTTTTCAGATATTCTTGAAACTAAAGATGCTATAAAATACTACTCTATGTAAGAAATTTTCATTTTTACTGATCTGAGTTACTAATTTACAGTGAAATAACCACAAGACAACAAAGAATTTATCACACTATCTCCCATTTTTAACTTTACAGTGAACATAAAGGAACATAAATATGTAATTTCACACAGACAATAACTACCGGAAAGAAATAGAACAGTAAAACAGACACACAGATAGGCATACTTTATCTTCCTAAATTCTGCTGTTAACTCTGTCTTAGAAATGAGGTGAAAATTATGGATTATGTGGTTTATGTGAGCTACTAAGCTTTCTCTTCTAGATGCTAGGGTCCAGCATAGACTGCAGGAAGTGGCTGTCTCAGGTTCCTATGCTGTGCTGTTTCTTATAAATTGTCAGCAAAGATGTCACAACTGCTAACACACAGGTATTGTAGAATATTGTAGAATTCAGATATGAAATCTTTCCCATCTCATTCCCCTTCAGGGAAATGCCCAAATCTGTTACTTCTGAACCTACAGAAATATTTTATAAATATCTTGTACAAAAGTAAATACCTAGCTGCTCTATCCTCATTTCTTTGTTGAACTGCTCATTTTCTAGGGTAAATTGTTTTGGACAAATTGGGAAAATGGAACCTTTTCATGTTTTGTGAATTATGCACACCAATATAAAAGTTTTCTTCTGGCAGACCAACAAGAAGGGATTACTCTAAGAAAATATACTTTCCCTCACTTCTCGATATTCTACAACAAAATAGGAGCCAATAGCAACAATTGCACTATACCTAACTGAAAAAAAAAGGCACAACTACTACTGAGTATCTGGCAATGACATCTACATTGCTTTGCAGAGTTACAGTTTAACTGGAGCATGGCTGAAGGTCGTTCTTCCTATGTATTGGAGTTCAGATTTTTACTTGAATTCTGACAGGCGGCTGCTGCCATCATGGACTGAAACTGAGAACACATCCCATAATAGGAACAATTGAACAATTGAACAATTTTTTTGGTAGCAAAGTCTTCCTGGACAGGGTAAGCACCAAGAAAGCATTTTTCCCTGTAGAAAATACCTGTGTTCTTCACTAAATTCAAAACAGAAACATAATAATGTACAGAAAGATAATAGAGTATTTGATAAGGTACCTACCATGTTTTCTTTTTTACTCACTAAAATGTAGACTTGTTAGCAGTTGGGGAAACACCATTCATGTTCAGTTCGGGAACAAACATTTCTCACATATCAAAATTAAAGTGAGCAAAACTAACTACTGGAATAGTTCGAGGCAAGACCTTCAGCTTTTTTCCTATCATTAGGCATGCAAATTATTCCTGAATTGTGTTTCCATTACCAAGATGACAGATTTGATTACTCACACAAAGTTTTGTGTGTCAAAATAATTGCTTGATGCACTGATAGCTGGCAAAATAACGTGCACTGAATCCTGGTTCAACATTTCTATTTTCAAAAGCGTATTTGAATCACACACTGTCAGTATTTATATGTTGACTTTGCTGAAAAAATAGCCATGCACACGTTTGTCAAAAACATTAGCAAGTGTCAAGCATGCATCCAGTCTATCTAAAAAGCAGGGGTTTGCTTGGAAGAGAGCAAAAGGGTATTTTCAACTAAGCCATTTCTTGAGTTGCCATGAAAAAGCATAATCATGTCAAATAAAAGCAAGCATTGCATCAGTTGTAAGTATATTTTGGTCTGATTTCATCTTGTAGCAGAATGAAGGAAAAAAGGAAAAGTTTATTAATTTCAAAACAAGCTGATAAGCTGTTTGGATTGTACGTTAGTAGGGAGTACAAAAAGGAGTGGAATTTGGCCCATTTCCCTCAGAATGGATCTCTGTAACCAGAAGAATTGCCAACAGACCTGGAGTCTAATCTCAGCAGCACAAATAAATGTATATAAAGAATGGAGCTGAGTTTTACACGTGTTGCTGGTGGAACAGTCATGTGCTTGTTCACAGCAGAGAGTCCTAAAAGACATTTTTCAGTGAGCTCAACTGCTGGGCTCCCCAGTGAGGACAGAAAGACAAATGTGTGATTTCATTTGACAGACAAAAAAAATCTATTGGACTTTGCTGAAAGGCAAAGCATGCAATATCAAGTTTCTGTGGTAGAATAAAAACAGCTTAGAATAACAGTAAGAGACTGTTCATTTAAAACATTCCGATGAGCATAGTATCTGAGATTTAGCAAGCTTGGTCAGTGTCAGCATCCAGGCTCACTTGAACACGGCTTTCTGCTCATGCAAATCACTTGAAATTTGACCAATTGATTGAACAATCTATATAAATACTGTTGCTAAAGTGTTTGCAGAATTTTTAAAGGTATTTGTAAGTATCATAATTTCTTTGTGCTGGATATGTCATGCAGAAAAATGATTCACGAAGCTTCACATCACACTTCTGAAATACAGCACCAAAATTATGAATTAAATCTCAAGCAATCCAGCATCAGAACAACATTTAGGGATGTTCTCTTTACTCCCGATTTTTAAAATATGATTTCAGACTCACCTTTACCCTTGTCAGTTCCACCCTCCTGAGGTGCTTTTTGTTCTGTGTAGGAAGTACAAGTATATTTTTGAGAGGATCTTAAAGTAAAAAGAAAAACTTACACAGCATTAAAAATACAGCAGTGTTCTGGGTCTGCTAGTATTGTAAAAACAAAATTGAAGAATTATTGATATATGTGTATATGTAATATACAGTTGTAATCCTGTAAAACTTTGTGCATATCGATGCTTTTTCTATGTTTCGAAAGAATTCTGTAACATTGCTGTTCCCATACTCAGTGGAAGGAAAATACTGTTTTTTGTTTGAAGTAGCAATTACTACTCTCTTTTTCTTGGGCTTATTTACAAAAGCCTTTGAAATGAGATACACATCATTATTAATTTTAATGGAACTGGATCAGACAAGAGATACTGCCAGATATTAACTGTATCCAGAGCTCCATCACCCTAATTAGTTTATCCTTAAGTCAAAGTACACCACAGAGAGAGTACATTGAGGGTGCTCTTAGTTCTTCATCATCATGATCTTTCCTAGGCTACTTGATTATAGTTTTCTTGATCAGAAGAGTTGCCATCTTGTCCTCTAGTCCAGACAAGTGAATGTGAATTATATTTGACCTCACGTGTATAAGGAAATTTGGACTGTATTTTCAACAAAACAAAAATTAATGTGCTTTCTCTGTTTCAGGATTTGATAGGATTCCTATTCTATTTGGTTTCCTATCTCATTCAATTCTTGTACAAAGCCATTTAGAGACTTGTCAAATCATATGAATTGTGCTGTATTCAAGGTATAAACATTCAATATTACCTGCAAACAATGACTTTCTGTAGCAAACTTACCTGACAGCTGCTGATAGCGCATGGATTTGGATGAAGGTCAATGGACTAATATTGTCAAGATGGAGCTAAGATAACTTTTGTACCATGGAGGAAATGTCTTCAAGAGACAATTGATACTATGATTATCCCAATTTCTTGTTCACATGTGCATAGCCATGGTAACTATGAAAATAAAACTTGAAATTTGGAAGACAAGTCCATATTCTGGAAGGACTCCCAGATACTTTTGTCTGGATTCCTTAAATTCCCAAGCTCCATTTGTTATATTGACTGTCTTGGCCATATGGTCAAACCTGTTCCATTTTGAATGGGAATTTTGTCACAATAACACTGTGCCAAGTAGCAAGACTCTCTCCCTCTGGAAACTGAGATTAGCAGAATTCACTGTTCTTGGCGGGTAGTAGCATGTCTAAATCTCATTTGAAAACCTCTTCAGGGCTAAGTATACCAACATGGTGGCTTGATATTGAGGCCTAGAAGGAACTCTTATAATGGCTTCCCAAAAATTTCCTGGTGTAGTTCAAGATGTTGATCATAGTGAATAAACTATTTATATGTTATAGCGTTTGGATTCTGGAAAAACCTACTTCCCTCTTTGTATAATAGCACTTGGTAAGAAGTGCAGAAGCAAGCTAGGAGAAGTGACTGACACTTCCAGCTTAGAAATATCCCAGTTGGGTCTATAGCTAAAAGGCCTATGGTCTATACCATAAAGGCCTGCTGACATCCTACCTGTTTTACAGAACAATAACAGGTATGGGGAAAAGGAAGGGGGTTATAGCATTGATTTTGTATTTAAACAAACAAAAGGTATCATTTATTTGAAAATGTTTACATAAATTTTGATATAATGTCTCAATGATGCTATTCCTTTACGTCTACAAAAAGTAGTTTCTCATTTCAGTTCTACAAAAAATTTAAGACTAATGAAGAACATGAATCCAAGTACAGAGTTTATCAGATAAGAACCTCAGTATGAATATTTTGAAATTAATTACTTTAATAGCAACTGTACAGATTTTACAGCTGAGTAAAACACAACTGTCATGAATGAAATATCAAGAGTCCATCCGTACATAAAAATAGTATATAGGTTATTTAAACATGAAACTCCTTTTGGCAAATGATACTACTACCTCCAGACTTAGTAATTTTTTTATGAAAGCATGTATCACTTAAACAAAAATATCTTTAATCAGCTTCATAAAATGTCAATTCATGAGACTATAAGCATTTATTCTGTTTGGTATTACTATTTAAGTAACTAGACAGGAAAAAAAAGGTCACTGACTGGTTAAATTAGACATGAATAATGCATGTATTAATCAGCATTGAGGACATACCTGAAGTTACATATCAAACCCACAAGGCAAAGGCTTTCCTACTTTCCTAGCTCCCACTAAGTGTAACAGCTTTGCACAGAGCTTCAGCTTTACCTGAAGCCCTAGTTCTTACGAATGAATTTCACCTCACCTACTTTGGCTACCTGGAAGTTAGTCATCCACTCCAGTTGACAATCAGACTCCTCAGGGCAACTGCCTATATACAATGATATTTTAGGTTGTCTAGGAAATGCTCATTGGAGGAGCATGTATGACCCAGGATCTGCTCCACTGCTTAGAGGTGGAGCACTGTTGAACAATCTAGCCAAGATATCTAATCTTCAGATGACTAAAATTAGGTGAAAAGAATCCCATGCTTGATTCTGTCGACTTTACTCACAGTGAAACTTTGAGGAGAAATGAAAGGAGATATTTTGGTAGTTAGATGCTGTTCAGTGTTAGAGACGGTGGCATAGTTTACTCCCAGAATTTAAGCAGTCATAGTTTTCCTGAAAGGCATTTGCATCATCATGCAAACAAGTCTCTCGCAAACAAAAATTGAGTTTGAAAAAGCAACATTCAGGCAAAGTGAAGTACAAGTATCTTATTTGGGCAGACTTTCTTACTCTCTTACTGTCCTCCCACTTTCAAAGGGACAAGGAACACAAATCGCATTATGGCTGTGCAATATCTGGTCTCATGCAACTATTGTTAGTGTTACAGTGCAAATCAGCATTTTTTTACACTAACCTGCAGGTGGTGGTGCATTTTCAGTTTCAGTCTCTGAAAAATGAGGAAAGAAGACAGATGATGAGCTTCAAGTAAAGGCAAATATTTTTCACATGTTTGGTATATGCTTGTTGTATTTGGACACAGTTTGGGTTCATTTAATATTTTAATGCATTTCTCAATTTATTATTTTTTACTTTCACGCAGGCATCATGTCATCTTCAGAGTGGCATGGTCAGAGGCCTAAATGTTATATTCTATGAAGGGAGCACACTGAACTTGTTCAACCTGGACAGACATGATATCAATAGATAAAATCATCTAATCATTTTGGCTGGAAAAGTTCTTTAAGATCATCGAGTCCAACTGTTAAGCAAACACTGCCAGGTCCACTACCAAAACCATATGCCAGAGCACCACATCTACATGTCTTTTAAGTACCTCCAGGGATGGTGAGTCAACCACTTCCCTGGGCAGCCTGTTACAACTCTTTCAGTAAAGAAAAGCCTTTAACAGTTTTTCAGTAAAGAAATTTTTCCTAAAATCCGATCAAAACCTCCTCTGGTGCAACTTGAGACCATTTCCTCTTGTCCTATCACTTGTGAAGATACCAACCCCCACTTCAATACAACCCCCTTTCAGGTAGTTGTAGAAAGTGACAAGGTCTCTCCTCAGCCTCCCTTTCTCCAGGCTAAACAGCCCCAGATCCCTCAGCTGCTCCTCATAAGACTTGTTCTCCAGACCCATCATCAGCTTCGTTGCCATCTTCTGGACACACTTTAGAAACTCAATGTTCCTCTTGTCATGAGGGACCCAAAACTGAACACAGAACTCAAGGTGCAAGCTCACCACTGCTGATTACAAGACAACCCTGCTGGCCACACGATTTCTGATACAGGTCAGGATGCCGTTGGCCTTCTTGGCCACCTGGGCACACTGCTGGCTCATGTTTGGCCAGTTGCTAAACAGAATGTAATCCAAGTTAAATTTCAATTTTAGGTCTGATTTGTTTAAGTCAATTGGTCTTGAACCTATGCCTAAGTGTATAACTTACCACACTGATATGCTTATGTCAGATGGCATCCTAATTTTAAGCAAATGTTCCCTCAGCTGGAGTAATATATGATATAACTTTTAAGTGTGAAGTGTAAGGGATCCATTAACTGAGGAGAGTCATGCATACAGAATTTTAACCACACTATTAGATCTAGAGAGTTCAGTGTTCTGTGCAAGGAGAAAGTAAAAAAAAAAAAATCAGCTTAGCTGCTCTGTGTAGGGCCTACAGTATCTTTGTTTTTTCTTTCTTTCAGTCAGGGGGCCAGTTAGCTCAGTCAGTTGAGCATGGCGCTAACAGCGCTAGGGTCGTGGGTTTGATTCCCGTTCGGTCTCCATGTGTTGCCTGATCTAGTGGAGAGGTGGCCTCTCTGGCGGCAGGGAGACTGGATTAAAACGATCTCTAAGGTCCCTTCCAACTTAGGCCATTCTATGATGATGATGATCTTTTTGAGTCTAAATCACTTCCCGTTCAGATGTGTGATACAGAAAGTAAAAGGCTTTTTTATCCTGTTCTTTTGGGATGACGTATTCTCCAATCTAAAAGCATAAGAACATAAAAAAATTATTCCTAAACCAATAAAGGATGGTTATTTTTAACTTATAAAAGCCTTAGGACTCTAGACTGGCTGAAAATAGTTATATTTGTTGCAGATAGTGCATTGATTTATAGTTCAACTACTTGCAACAAGCAAAGATTTAAAAGGTTGAAATCCTTAACTGTAACAGTAGATGACTATTGCTAACCTTTGTCATGTTATGGGTATTAACATATGGGAACCCACCTCAGGTCATAGTCAGGAAATAGTTGCAATTTCTGTCACACTGGTGAGGCTATTCCTTTGCACTCAGGTCTAAATATAACTAAAACATACTTCTCCTTCTTAATAAATCCATTTAATGTTTGAAAGGAAGGGATACTTCTAGTACAAATACAAGTTTAAGCTGACACTGTGAATTTGGTATGGTTTAGGAACTTCCAGCCACATACATGGATGCTTTAATTTTTAAAGGTATTTTGTGTCTTCATTACACAGAAATCATGTCTTTCCAGTCCTGTCTTGTCTAGCAGTAGGCACAGATGTTAGCCAAAATCTACAGCACAGACCAGATCTGAAACATTATTATTATTATGGTCTAAACTTCATATTGTATAGGCAGACATAAAAGGAGATATTCAAACCTGAGCAATGTCATGGGCAACCTACTCTAGTTGATTCTGTTCCTAACAGGGACTAGACAATCTCCAGAGATCCTTTCCAGTCTCAGCTATTGTGCAGTTTTGTGATGGAATGATGACTAAAGCCAAGCCAAGAATCAGTGGTTTCTTTCCTAAACAATAATTCAGAGCTATTCGGGCTATAGTTAGGAAAACTGAGGCAAGAACTGAGCTCAGAGGAGAGACCTGAACTATGGTGTGGGAGGAAAAAAGGAAGGGGGAGAGTACCAGGCACTAGGGGTGGCAGAGACATGGGGGATACTTCAACATAATCTTTTGGCCATATGCGACCCCTTTCATGGTCATGCTTGGCTTACAGTTCCATTCCTGAGGACAGCCAGGAAAAAAAACATTAATAGAACCGAGTAGTTTCCACCTCCCCAAAGAATGATAGCCTTCTCTGGCTGACCTCTGCAACAGGCTTGTCAGCCAGGAAAGGGCTCTGAGCACTCAACCAGTAGCTTACGGTTGTGCTCCTTCCCTAGGAGGCATGATCACTGAAGTCCCCAGATGCCATTCCCGACAGCCCCATTGCCTAATATGGTGCTCTGTCGAGGCATTGTCAGGGGGGCTGGTGGTGGAGAAAGTGTTGCCGCTAGCATGCACTCCTCAGCCCCTGGGGAGAAGTGTTCTTCACCGGGTGGAGCTTCACCTCTGGAGCTACAGGGGAAAGAGGCTGTTGAAGGTCCAGTTAAGGCTGGATCGCCAGCCGGGCCTTCTACTAAGCAACTAAAGTTAACTTCTGCCTCACAGTTGCTGAGACAAAAGGTAACGGTCTCCTTTTTGCAGTTCTTTAAGAAGCCAGGAATGTTGCATTTCAGTGGGTCATGTAGTGCTAAACACAGAACTTGGGTTATTTGTTGGCTGTCAAACTTGTAAAACAGCTGGCTATGTATAATTCTACAAGAAAAGGAACTAATTCAGCAGTCCTTTCTACATGACTATTTAGAAAGGATAATATATTAAGAAGCGTAGTTAGCAAATAAAGTGAAAGCACAACTGTGACTTAGATAACATCTTCAGAAATGCTTTCATGCCTCAGCCATGTCATGAGATGCATTCACGATCCAGTTTGACATAGGATATGAGAACTTAGAGCCAAGACATTTTTATTTGTGATTTATTACTATACATGCACACATACACTCTTGAAAATCAGCAGGGGGTGCAATTTGACCCACTACCAAAATTTTTCCATCGCTGTTTCACATTTACTATGTTCAGCTTTTCAGATAAGGCAAGACTTAAAATCTCTTGCTATGCATGTAGATGACTAAGCTTTAAACACTTCCATGAGATTATCCGTGTTCTAAAGTTATAGAAATGCTTCAGAACCATGTTAAATTGGGACTATCATTATTTAAAATTGCAATTCCATTTTAGATCTGGCTGTACTGCCTTCCAACCTGCAATAACCACAAGAAGCGTTGGCAGGGAACTGGCAGGGTGCTTATGTGTGGTAGCCAGTTTTCAAGAGCTCTAAATTCCCACTTCCACTGGCTTCTGTGACAGCAACAGGCATAGAAACTCCCTGACATCATATATATTACTTTTCACATTGGAGTGTAAACATAACAAGGCATGCTGACAGTTCTAAAACAGTCTCCAGGCTCTACTACTGTGCTGGGAGCAAAGTCTTCTGGAGACTTGCAGGTCAGATCATTTCAGAGCTACAGGTTATCAGCAAGCATATTGAGAAAAAGGTCTGGCTGGGTAACCCTTCTCATCTTGCAACTCTAAACTCATGACCAAATTTGGTTTGGGCAGGCTTTGGAACACTCAATAATATAGGAAAAATAAGAAGTGATGGTTTTGTGGTTTTGTTTTTTTTCTTTCCTTAGATGAAGGAAATGACCTTGAGCATTAAATCAGAGCTTGCACGAAGTCTAAAGATAGCAATTCATCATCATCGGGCTGGAATATTCGTGAGAGGGAGAAGGAAGGTCTCCCATACTAGTTTCTTCCTGCCTTTAGATATAGATCAGTTATAATCCAGCAAAGACTCTGATCTGAACAGCCAAGGGATTCAGGATCTCACCCAATCTGACCAGGGACCAGAGGGTTTACTCCTCTTTACCTGAAAGGGAAACCAGGACTATAGCTGCATCATGATGGATACAAGTGTGATATCTGTCTGTGTAACAGCAGCATGTTAAAGTGACTTTCATATGTCAAAGAGCACGAAGATGGTCACTTAATGCTTTTTTGTCATAAAGACCCGTCAACTGGTGTCAAATATAAGTAGGTGGATTAAGCATACGGACATAGCCTTGAGGGATCAGACAAATATAACTATTACATAGGCATTCCTAAAGTGCTGACTCTGCTAGTCAGACAAAAATAGACAAAATGTTAGTTTGGGGAGAGAGCACGACTCAACCCATCCCTTGTGCAGTTGTCGTGCATAAGGACTGTTCACTGTGCACAGCCCCTGCAGGACAGGAGGACTGCTGTTGTAGCACATGGCTTTCTCCTGAGGTAGATGCTCCACTGAAACAGGTGAGCAACTTCTGTAGACAGTTTCCAGTCTGAGTGGAAGCAATAAACTGTAATGCCAACTAAAATCATTACCTGTTTTATGAATCTCCACGGACATTTTCTATGTTACTTTAAAAATAAAGCTATAGAAACTATTCTAAGAAGACTTCAGTCCCAGGTCCTGAGTGAAAAAGTCATTCTGAAGGACTGAGGTGAACAAGCAGTGGTGCTCTGGTACCTGCCTGGATGACTATTATTTGGGCCAACAGTGTGATGAAGCCAGGTTGATAAAATTATTAATGTA